AGGAATGCCTACTCCGTGCCAGTAATAAGGTCTGTGCCTGTTGCTTTCCAAAAACTTTGCTTGTTAAGATTTCTGACTGTTTTAATGATATTAGTTAGTTCTGCCTGCTGTTTGTAAGCAATTAGCAGACCACCAGTATCTAAAAAAAATTGCTTATATAAGGCTGAGGATGTAGTGCAAAGCCAAATTTCAATGTTTGTTCCTAAAATGTTTGACAGGACTTTCTTCAGGCCATCCAAGCAGTGGCAAACTTATTTATTTCTGGCTGTCTGGAGTTTCCCAGCAGATGGGGCTCTTGCCCGTGGTGCAGTCAGGCAGGAGCTGGTCTGTGCAACTGCTGCATATCATTTTCTGAATGAAGTTTTTGCACTTCAGATCCTTTCAGCAGGCAGGGTAACCTTAACTTGCCTGCGTGTGTTACTTGTCCAGGAGCCAAAGCTAGGCTGAACATTGGAGTGTTTGGAGAAATCTCCTCTCCAACTTTCCATGCAGTGCAGGAATTTGTCCTTATGGGGAAGTATGACTAATTTTGTTTTTCCTTGGTGGTGTTTGCTGAAGTGTTCTTGTCACTGGAATCTTGTAGATATCCTGGCATTTGGGTCACTCCCTTTCCCACTGTGCTTAATTCTCAAAATGGAAAAGGGTTTTCCAGTGTTCCTGGAGCTGATTAGGAAGGCTTGTTTTCTCATCACATAGGGCAATTTGCATGCTTCTGATGTGTATTCTTGCTTTCTTTCATTTTCTGCTTTCTCTTCCTGAATTTCCTATGGCCTTACTGACAGATTTTCTAGGACAAGATTCAGAGCTATTTGCTCTGTGCATGTTCCCATAAATCACTGTCTAGATGGTAGTTTGTACTGCACGTAAGAAAAAGATGAAAACTGGCTGTAGTAGGGCTAAACTTACACACGCAAGTTTAATTTGATGCAGTAGATTCCAACTGTGTCTTGCCTAACAGAATCATTATGAAGATAAAGTTTAGTCTCAGTGGCCTGGTAGAGACATTTTAACATCAAAAGCCTTGTGGTCTGCTGGGTCTTTGAATTGCCTGCATGTGTGCTGTGGCTGTCTTGTCTAGGAGGGAGTGCTATCAACAGCTAAGAAATGTTCCTAAAGCTGTGCCACTGCTCTCCATCCAAATTTCATGTGAACAAACTGGTAGAAGACTAGTGCGTTAGAGCAGAGTGCGGCTACCCTGCAGCCCAGCCCTGGGACTCCCTGCAACCCCCACTGTTTTCGTGCCAGCTTGAGGAGGGATGAATGGTTGGCGCCTGGCCCAGGTGCACTTGGAGCAGTTGCTGGCAGGTTTCTGAAAGCAGAGTTCCCCTACATGTAGAAATGTCCTTTTCACCATCTTTAGCCGATTTTATCTTTGTTACAACGCTGCTTACAGACATTAATATGGCCCTGTCTAATCATCTTTACGGGATAGGTATATGTAATTCCTATATGTCTTGTGTGCATGAGATTATATGTAAATCAAGGGCTTCCTTTTATGTGCCCTTGATTTTCTCTGTCTGTCAGTGTGGAGATTCTCTGCCCTTTGTTTGTTCCTTCCCTCTTTCAGTACAGGCTGTAAATTGTGGTGTGAGTTCAAAGCTATACTTTTAAACGATGACCTTCAGTGCCATCTTCAGACTCCTCCAGAGACATGGCTTTCAGGAAGGGCTGCACATTCCCCACCCAGCCAGGACAGTGAGGCCCTGTGGATCGGCCTCCAGTACGGGGCATGGGGCACCACCAGTCACTATCTAAAATTCTGCTTTTCATTCAGCCTTTTCTCAGTTGCTTCTGGTAAAAATAATTAATCCTGAAAACAAACAGTTGCTACATTGGAATTAGAGAGTGATGGGGTAAGGGACAGTTCCTGGGCTGTTCCCTCTGTAAACAAGGGTTGTCCTTCATTAGCTGCGAGTTCTTTTGCCAGAAGCCAGCATTGCTTCTGTGTGTCTTGTGTCAGATAAAAACAAAGCAATAAGTCTAATAGTCTGTTCCTGTTTCTTTGCTGTAGATTGCTTGCACAACTCTAGATGTGGATCTGGTATGCATAAATGTAACAGAAAAACTGCCATTCTACTTCCGAAGGCCCCCTGTGAATATGGTAAATTTACATCTAAATTGTTTTCTTGCTGTTAAATTCTGTATTTCATGTCAGTCTGAGTTAAATTCCCTACCATTTCCCTCCCACCATTCCCATCCAAATGGTTCTTTTATTTCCTTGCATAATGTATAGTGTTGTTTCAGATGTCCTTCACTTCAAGGCCTCCACTGTAGCATTTAATACACAGTGATGTGTGTTCTTTCTTTTCTCCTTCCTGTCCCCCAGTTAAGAAGGCAGAAGTGGCATTCCGAAGGAATGGAAACAGAGCCTTAAGGCCTCTACTATGCTAAGCAGTGAGATGTGGTGCAATTGCTGACTAAGCTGCTTCCTAAACCAGAAGTGGTACAGCTGTGTCAGAATAGATAAACAACCTTGTGATTTAAAAGACAGGAGAATGTGAATGACGGTGTTAATCTGGGAGAAGGATGCTGTGCCAGTTATTTGGAGGACAACTGTATTGAATCCGTATTTAGGCAAAAGAATGTCTTGGCAAATGAACCAAATGTGGAATTGCTAAATATCTGCTGTGGGACACAAGATGACTATTAGCATGGATCAAATATTTTTTTAATACAATTCTGCCTACTGTTGGTGGTTTGCCAGAAGGCTTAATCTGAACATGCTCTTAGGTGAACTAGTTTTTTCCTTTGAGTATATGTCAAGCTTCATTCCACATGGGCATTCTTGTCTGATGTAGTCCTTAGTGCTTAAAAACTTAAATTTGGAATTGGCTAGAAATCGTACTTGTTATTCTACAGGAAGTTTCACCTAGAATAAAAATTAAAAATTAACTAGAATTAATCCTGAAACAGAACAGAAGTAATGCTTTGGAATTTACTATAGACTGGGAATTTCAACATTCCATCTGGAATAACAATTTTTTATTAAATGTTGTTTGAAAGTACCCTAGCTGCCTGAAACTCCAGCAGCTGACCCAGGTGAGGAACTGAGTGGCTCTTGGAGCCCTGTGTTTGGAGACATTTTCCTTACAAGCTACTTCTCAGCTTCCACACTCCTGGCTTCAAGGCAGTCTGTCTGTCAGACTGGTTTTGTGCATCCTGGGGCAGTCAGTTTTGGTTGTTGTGATGCCAGGCAGACAGACTAGCAGGCAGCTGAAGTGGTGGGGATGAAGTTAAAAATCTGTTTGACTAGAAATTGGTGTATTGCCATCACCTGTTTCGGTTTTGGTAAATTCAAGCTTCTCTTGTTTGCAGAGGCTGGACCAGTTCTGTGTAAAACATTTGGTGTGTATGTAGCTTCTGTTGTGCTTGCATGTGGAAGTCATACATGGATGGGAGCTGGTTTAATTCCATCTGTTTTCAGTTACTGGACTCTCTTACAGTATTATTATTATTGCAGCATTTTTTAATAATAGGAGTATAAAGCATAGAGTAACATTTTAGGCAAAGGTAGTGTAGGCCATGGAACAAAGAACTAGCTTTGAATGGTCTTTATCACTAACTCACTGTGTCCTATAGCAAGTTGATTAACCTTTCTCTGTGTCTTCACAAAAACAAGAATACTAGGCTTTTGGTGAGGTACTTTGACAGATAACAAAGGATTTTAAAGCAGATGAAAATATAATCAGTATTACTATTTGGAACCGCTCCTGTGACTCACTGTTATTTAACATTGTCACAAATACCAGAGTGTGCTGTGAGACAGGAGAGAAGGGACAAATTCCTCATCTGCCAGACGGGGGTACTGTGGGAAGCGGTGGCCTTCCTTACAGCAGGCTGTGGGGCTAGAGGAGGAGAGTCCTTAAAAGTCAAGACTTGTTTCTGACTAGCAGTGGCTACGTCTCCTCAATTCTGTGATAGTGGAAAGCCAATTACAACTAAAAAATGGCTGGTATTCGTTTGTTAAACCTTATTAATCTGTCATCCCAAGATTCAACTACACATATCTGGTGTACAGTGAAACTTCCCCTCCACGCCTTTCATGCTATGCTGTGCTCTTGCTGGAACGATTCCACCTTAATTTTTTCATATATAACACAGTTAAACTGAGAATAAGCTACATCAATAATAGACAGCAGTTGTTGGATTGTTATGCTTCTCTCCTTTTGATTTTTGATCACTCTCTTTCATGTGAAGGCAATAGATCGAGGCATTTACTTTGAACTTCTTTACACGCCTGCCATCAAAGACTCCACAATGAGAAGATACACAATTTCAAATGCGATCAGCCTGATGCAGATCTGCAAAGGAAAGGTAAGCTCTCAAAGTGAAAGCAAGCTAATTAATTCAGTTCAAATTCTTCTGGAGTTGTACAGACTGGGCCATTTTAAATGAGTTTGATGCTGGGGTTTCTGAAGCTGTGACTGAATCTTTGCCTACTAATACAAGGACACAATTATTCTAGCCCCAGATACTTCCAGCCATGCATCACTGCATGCTTTCTTCTTAAGTTGTCAAAATGTTAGATTCTTTTTTCAGGACAACTTGTCTGTTGTTATGCTATGCAATACCCGAAACAAAAGAGGGTATGGGGGAAGTGCCACATATCTAAGTTTTGGACTAGAACTGAAATCCGTGCATCTCTTTAAAATCCTCCATTTCGTATTTCTGATTGACCAAAAGCTCTTTTTTGATAGTATACCTTGAAGATGTGGGGTAGAAAGTAATAAGAAAAAAGTAGAAATCTTGTTTTGTTAAATGGTTAGTAAATCCTTAGCATACAAAACAGACCCAACAGCTAGCTGGCTATCAGCCAGGGCTTTGCAGCAGTCAGATCAACGGCATTCTTCCCTGCTACTGAAACCCAAGGAAGAAGTAATGCTTACATCTGAGATGCCTGTAATCCATTACTTTCATACCTTACCTCCTCCCAGGCTACCAGACTAAGCTGCCTGTCATGCTGGGTCCTCTCAGGCCATGTCTTTTTTAACAGGGAAGCATATCATAATACATATCCAAGTTAAAAGAGATCATAGTTCCCACCACCTTTATTGAAAATAGCCTTTGCTGCACTTAGCTAGTCTAGAGAAGCCAAAATTGTCATTTCCCTGCAGATTTAGTCTGAAGTGGGATATACAGCTTGGAAGGCCAATTAAAAGTATATCTATCAGTACCTCAGTTTCCCTCAGGCATGGCATTTTATAGGACAGCAGAGTGGGTCAAACAGATGAATTCCCTTGCTACAGAAGAAAGTGAGTATTTGCGTGGCCCTTCCTGAGAAGCCCAGCTCTGGGACTTAATTGCACAAAATACTGGCTTGGAGATGCGTCGTACATGCAAAACCCCTTTCCTTTGGGATTCCTTTTTGCCAGTGCTCCTCTTTACTCTGTGCAGTTGAAGATGTGCCTCTCACGGTTGTTGGAGAGCACCGGTTGAGCTGGTGTCACAGACAGAGCAAGTGAGACGTTCAGGTGGTTAGTCTGTGCACAGTGCCCTTTCTTTCTGCATCTGTCAATCTAGTGTGTCATCTGTGCCTGGAAGGTAAATCAGCTGGAGCTGGGCATGACAAGTTGTTGTTAGGCACTGGAAGAGATGGGAGGGGATTGCGTGCTTGTCTGTATTTTTTGCCGTCATTTCTTGCCTTCATTTTTTGCCTCCAGGCTCAGTACCTGGTGGGTCAGCAGAAATGGTTATTAGCCCTTGCTGGGAGTTTGTCTCCATTGGTTATGTAAAGGCCTTTTTTTAACGAGATGTGGGATGGCTTGTCCACAGGTTACTTGCATTGGCACCTGGCACGGAGCTCTTACCTTCTGTAACCTGTAGTTGCTGAACCTGTAGCAGCTTTTGGATCCTTTCGTTCCTCCTCTGTTATAGTAGGGCAGAGAAACTTCCAGAAATTTACTGGTGTCCTCAGAGCTGGCATTGAGCAGAGTCCTTAAAACATGTTAAAATGTGCAGGGAATGAGGGAGGGACTCGCCTGCCTTGCCAGACAGAAGGTGTACATAGCCACAGTCCCTCACCTCCCATGTTTTGGTAACTGAGTGCGGGTACTGTGCCTGGAGCAGTGTGCTGAACAGCTGCTGTCTCCTTCACCTGGGGAGATAATGTTTTGCCTTTGAGTTCTTCCCTTTAGCCCTTCCCTTGGATTTGCCTTTGCCTGCCTCTCCTTCACTTGCTAGCAGTGCTTTTCTTGTCTGCTCTTGTCTCCTCCTCCCATCTTACCCATCCCCTAACTGGAAGCCAGTTGCCTTTGAACCAGGTGGAGCACATCTCCAGTGCACAGCAGTGAACCACGATCCCGTGCTTGTTCAAGATGGCTCACACAGCTGCTCTGGGAGTTTCTCTGAGCCTGGGAGACAAGCGTTGGTTGCTACAGCTCAGAGCAGGAGATGAATTTTCCCAGCAAACTCTTGCAGTCAGCACCACTGAAGCTCAAAAGCACCTTTGGGATCCATAGTGCAGTCATTTTTAAAGGTGAACTACAGAGAAAGGAATGTCCTAGGCTCCATCATGGTGTGCTGTTAAGTCACTTTGACATATGTGTTGCTTCCACTTTTGGGTTTCCTTTTGCTAAGGCAGAGTTGTCTGTCCCATCCTTTCCTCCTCAGCACACAAAACCTTGGGCACAGTGTGAACACGCAGTTGTGTCCATGCAAATAGCTCTTTTTCATTTTGAGTTCCAGCTGCACAGAGAGCATTTTCTTCCATTGTCTGCCCTGCTCTTTGTGCTGGGAAGGGGGCAGGACAAGCAAAGCAGTGGGAGGAAGGGATCAAAAGCCCCACCTTGTAACCAGAGGTGGTGTGATATGTTGGTGATACTGACGTCAGAGAGGGAAAGTCTTTCGCTGCCTTAAGTACGATTCTCATTCCCACCCACTCAAGCAGGAATTCCCAAAGCTTTTTATTTGGTATAGTAAAAAGTGCAAGGAATTTTTTTGCTGATGCAAAGTTTCTACCTGTGCAAAACAGTCTCCACCTGGGTGAGCATCCTTGGAGGTTTAACATCAGAAGCACTCTGGCAGCTGAGCTGTGGTATCTGCCAGGCCCCAAGCAGTCACATACCTGTTCTGCAGAAGCCCTTTGGGAGAGAAGGAAGAAGGATATCTCTCTGCCTGGTGCTTTTCATGGGGGTGCCAGTGTTGAGGAAAATGAGTGTATGGCATGAACCGGCAGCCACTGCGTAGCTGCAGACAGGTTTCCTGAACCAGTGTGAGTTTGATTAACTTCAGTGTGAATGCTGAGGTTAGAATTGAGTGGTACCTCAACACAGAGTAGGCTGAAAATCTGGGAGCACCCATCTGTCCAAAGGCACTATCTGTAAACTGCTTCTGGGGGATCCTGGACTCGTTAGTCCATTTCTGTTACCAGCTCAGGCCGAGCTGTCATTTGTGTGAAACCTCTTTCAGCTAGTGTAAATAAAGGGGGCACTTCTTAACACAGTGTGTGCAACTCTGCATTTCTTCTTTACCCTTAAGGTCCCTTTGAAGTCCACTATGAGGGATATGGGCTGATAGGTGCTTGCTTGATCCCATCACTCTGACATTACACTGCTTAGCCTATCCCTCTAAAAGGTGCGGTGTTTGTTCAACCCGCATCTGTCTGTGAGAGGTTTGTAACTGCAAGGGAGTCCCTGTGCCCCTCTCTCTGGAGGGGACAGGGAGATAACCTGGGTTTATTCGTGTCCCCAAAGTAAGATTCACAGCCTGCTAGAGTTCACTTCATTTGAGGGCATCAGATACTCTGATGTTTAATTGGGCTCTGAGCCTGAATTAGCTAGTGCTCATGAAGTTTTTGTTGCTTGCTGATTTTCTTCATTTCTTGATGCTGTGTGACAGGTGAGCGTTTGTTCTCTTTTGTTTTCCAGAACATTGTTATTTCTAGTGCAGCTGAAAGGGTAAGTGCCATATTTTTGTTGAAGTCAGAACAATTTGAGGATTCATCTGTGGCTGAAAATACAGCTTTAATTCTACAGTAAACATGCAAAAATTGTAATTTTAAATGATTGCCATCTTGTGTTTTTTAAAATCAGTCTGTTTTACAAAAGAAGTTGTATTGTGAGGTTTGGGGTTTTTTTTGTTTCGATGGGTCAGGGTTTGCTGCTGTGGTACTTTCAATGACAGTTTTCTCCCAGATGGCAACTCTGTTACAACAACAAAATAATAGTATTTGCTTGATTTCCTAGTGCATCTTCAGCAGCTTGCTATTACATAGCATTTAATCTTGCCTCCCTGATAGCCCTGTCCTATTTGCTCACACTCTATCAGCCTGCAAGGCAGTGCATGCACATATCGAACCTTCTGTGTTTTGTTTTAGCCTCTAGAACTACGAGGTCCTTACGATGTGGCTAATCTGTATCCTTTTTCCAAGTCAAAGACAGCAGTTAGTAGTAACATGTGAAAATTCAAAGTGGTTTTGAAATACCTCCATCCTTTACGCTCCTTGAACTTTACACAGTGATGCTTGTTCGTGACCAATTCAATGAATCAGGGCTCTGAGTGGGTGTGGAAGGAACAACAGGTCTTGGTCATGGAGTGGCACAAGCAGTCACTGTAAATAGTAATGTCTGTGTTCAGCTACATGTATGTTTTGTTGTGATATGCATTGATATTGTGCAAGTGTTAAGTGGAGAAATGAATAAAAACCATCAAAATCTATGGACACTGTGAACCAAACCAAAAACTATTACTTATCATCTCCAAGGTGCCACTTGGTAGAAGAAGCTACAAAATCATATGTATATATTAAGAAAGAAAAAGTTCCTATCTGAATGCTGGCTACTTCTGTTCTGAATTTTCCATTCCTTAGGTACATACGTGCTGTTAAACAAGTGTTTAACACTTGTGTTCTAGAAACGAAGGAAAGTGTCTTTTCTTCCCTTCTTTTAGGAATTTTTACTACTCCCCACTCCCCACCCCACAAGTGCATATCTGGACTGTCCCTTGGAGGGGAGGAGCATGCTCTGAGTCGTGAGAACCGTGTGGGAGGGTGTGCGGCCTGGAAGGATTTTATATGCAGCATTTCCTTCCCTCTTAAAAAGAGCAGTCAGGCTCAACCCAAATTAACATACCTAATCTGGTGTCATCCCTGCTCAAGGTGGCTGGGAGCTTTTCAGTATAATGCTTTTGTATCACACAGTGCCCTTCCACAAAACTGAAATTTTCAGTGGGGTCATTTTTTTTACTTGATTATGCATCTAAAAATGTTCCTGTGTTGACAGACTTTTATTTTCAAAAGTACAGCTTTGTCTGGAAGAAAGCAACATTGCCAGGAGCTTTCCAGGAGGGCTGCTGGGGAACTGCAGCCAGGAGAATTGGGTGCCTCAGTTCCCTGCCTCTGGATAACCTTATGCAAAATGTCACTTTGAGTTACAGCTTTGCTAATTCCCAGTTATTTGTAGAGTAAGCAAACCTATCATGCACACAGACTTCCCTATTCTGTTTGTTCCTTTCTGTGCATTTTGATCCTGAACAAAGGTGACAGAGGTTTGCTGTTTGGCCTGTCAGAAAGCGAAGCCAAGGCAGCCGTGTCTACCAACTGCAGAGCCACCATGCTTCATGGAGGTGCGTGAAAAGCACGTGCAAGCTCGTCTAAGTAACATATGCCTTTGTTAAACAAAGTTTGTGTTAATGCATATTTTCCAAAAGGTTCGAGACTTTATAGAGCAAGTCAACTTGGGGTTTTAGCTCCCTTGTCCAATACATGAAGGGGACCTTGTGTGGCAAGGGTGTTGTGTTTTCCCTTGTTGCCATGTTAGCAAATCAGTGGCTGAACTGATGGTGCTGTCTGTACTGGAGTACTCGTTTAACCACATTAATGAGTCATAAACTGTTTAGCCGAAACAGATCTTCCTGTTCTGCTTCGTAGTGAAGCTGTCCCTTGTTTCAGAAGGGGTTGAATGCTGATCTTGGTGACACTGGCAGAAACTACGTCATTGACTTCAAGAAAATCAGGATGCATGTGTTTTGCGTTTACCCTCTTGCAGCCTGAGTGCAGAAGCAACCTTTGCCATGTCCCTTTCTGATGCTTCATTATGGGGTCTATTTCTGACTCACTCTTCAGTGTGGACCATTTCAAACTTGATGTAAAATCAAATACCCCAAGTGCTTGCTGCTTAGAAAAAAAAAGTTTCATATAGTGTACAGTGGCTTGAAGTGTTTTGGTGAAACAAAACTTGCTTCCTTATGCTCTCAACAGAGGCAGCTCACAGTAGCTGTCTTCTACTTGCCCATTTTTAATATTAAGAAATTGGAAATTTAGCTTGTGGGCCCCTGCACTGGAAATCAAAAAGTTTCCAGTTGTATTTTGTGTCCAGGTGTCAGTGCAGCAAAGAGGTGCCACAGTTTGTATTCCAGCAATCAATTTAGACCCTTGCTTTCCACTGTGGCATGAATTTCTCCATCTCTGCCCACCCTTCCACATGCTTATGTATTGGCTTTTAGTGTTTCTTGATTTTTGTTGTTTATTCTGATGGCAGTTTAACTTTGTGACTGAGTAGTCACATCTAGCTCTTAATTTCTGCCCTCTGTCAAGGTTTGGTAGGTATGATTTCTAGTCACCTTCCCAACAACTTGAGTTGCTCTAAGTTTCAAACGCACAATTGGATTTAGTTTGCATCTCTTGTTTCAGTAGAGGTGGGGCTTGAACCTGCTGTAATTCACAGCAGGTAGCTTTGATATCTTCGAGAGGGCATTTCAGAGACAGGGTCCGTCTCTGGCCAGCTACTCATCTGCATAGAGACAGTGTGTTGGAAGAATTTTTGTCAAGTTTATGTGGAATTTCTCAAGACAGTCATCTATCTTATCTGTGAAATTAAATAGCAGATGTCATTTCCCTGTCCCCCAAAGAATACTAGCCCAGAATAAGTCAATACATTTTGGCAAGATTCTTGCAGCCTCTGCTAACAGAGTATTTGTAGGGAATCTCTTCTACCTCAGATTTTGCAGAGAAGCCTCCCACCGATAGTTACGAAATTGGATTTGGCTCACTGGGTTGTTTGGCAGACATGTGAGGAGTTTGATAACACCACACAGTAGTATTTTATGGTAATGCTGAGGATTCTGTAAATAAAATATTCTTGAATACCATAAAGCCACTTACTTGATATGTAGAGGGGAGCCTCTGCCAATGTAGCTGTGCCAGCATAGTCTGTTTAAGAATCCTGTGGTATGTGAATACATTTTTTTATATTTTTTTTAAGAACAGTATGTTTTGCTCAGAAATGCAGGAACGCTTTTGACAATGCTTCAAGAATGTGTCCTTCTGTGACTATTGAACTGATTAAGTCTGGTTTCCTATGGTTTTGTGTCTCTGCAGCCTCTCAACCCCCACAGACTTAGTTTTCCCTTATGTTTGCTGTAATTCTACACCCACCGTTGGATTTCCCCCTTTAGTTTCCCCACTCCATAATGCAGCGTATCCCAAGACCCTGCCCATGCAGGTTGCTTACCTGCTGTGTGTGCTGACTGGCTGGTTGTTAAACATGTTGAACTGTGCTTTGGGGTGTGAAATGAGTATGCATTAAATGCATTAGTGTAATTTTATTTGAGGTACTGCAGCTTCTGCTTGTATATTCCAGAAACTCGAAAGAGTGCCTGTGGGGTAGTGTACACAGTGAAGAAGCCTCGCAAGGTTGAGGAGGAAGAAACAACACTGCCAGCCTGCAAAAAAGCTAAGACTCAAGCTTGAGGACTGAACCAGTTGTCAACAGGAGCCTCCATCCCATCTTTACCCTGTGTTGAGTCTTCCCCCACCCTCCAGCCAGCCCAGTTCCTCCCTTACTACTTTTATTTAGCCTGGAGAAAACTTATTCTTCTGGTGTTCAAGTGAGGAAGGCTGTGGGAATGAGACTGCTGAATGGTGGTTCATCACATCTGAAAGGTCATGCTGGGGTCTAGCCAAGGTCAGGAGGCTATCTCCCACCCTGTCTTAGGTCTTCTGGAGCTACTGCAAACTCAACACAACTTTTCTAACATACGTAAATTTTCAGTTGTACAAGTGCATTCCTTTTTTATTAAAAATCTTTCTAAGAATGCATGCCTTCAAAGTGTAGCTCTTATGGTTTCTCAAGTTTTAAACACATCTCTGTGCTAAACCTTACAACCACAAACCAGTAGATGAGGTCTACCTTTGCAAGCCTGTGAAGAATAATAGCGCAGTAAAAAAAAAAAAAAAAAAAAAAAAAATCTGCTTCCCATTCTCTTTCATGATCAATGGCTATAAAGAAGATCCCAGGATCTGTCACTTGCTAGGAGGTATCTTGGATTTGTGTTGCAGTAAGACTGACTGACCTGATCTGCCAGACCCATATCACAAAGGCCATCCCTGTCTTGCAGCTCTTGGAACCAAACAGTAACATGAGGTGGTTACCGCAGATGGGAAGGAAGAGCCCAAGGTTACACTGAACGTGTGCTCAGCGTGGTATGTTGCAGTCGCAGCATAACAGCTGTCTCACCTAGGCCTGAGCAGTCTCCACGTCACATCATTTTTACTGCATCATTTCCTTCTTTGTGTCCTGGTCTGGCAGTGTTGTCTATGAGAGTGTTCATTTTGCTGCCTCCTGCCTTTCTGTTTTCCTTCCTGTTAATGCCTTGGTAAACCTAATCTGGCTGCCAAAAAAGCAATCATAACAGATTTATAATCAGCAGAGCATTTTCAGAGCTCTTCCAAATGTTGACTGAAGTTTTTCTTTTGATTAGACCAATATAAAAATTATGCAAGCTACTGTACTCAAGATACTCTTGAGCCAGCTTTACTGTGAATATTCCAGTTCTCTATTTGCATATGACAACAAGTTGAGGAGTGGAAGTTACAGCACACAAAATATTGCAGAAGTCTTGCAGTGGGTCATCTTTGAGCTCTTAGTAACTGGACTGAGCAGAGTGGATGAAGTTCTCAGTAGACTAACAATTCTATATAATGCTGGTGTAAGTCACAACAGCTTTTTGCTTCGTTCAACAAATAATGAAGTATTTTTCCTTTATGTTGTTATTTTACTTGTTGATGTTATGATTTGAGTCTGTTTTATTATAGATATTGGGGTGTAATATATATATACACACACATAGACACACAGAGTAGTTTCTTATTTATGGACTTACCTCCAAAGTGGTGCTCTAACCAGAGCAGAAGCAAAATGTGTTTGTCAGGTACAATTTTCTGCATGACATATTATATTGCCTTGGCCAGAGAATAACCTACCTTGAGCTTCACAGAAGTTGTTTGGTAACTAGCATATGGAAAGAGGCTTTTGAATATCAGAGATCCTTCTTGCTACTTGTTTGACTTGATTTAAAAAATTTACAGTTCTGCATCTTTGCCCCTGAAGTAGATACAGTGCTTCAGGAACTGATTTAAAAGTTTCTTCTCCCCAGTTTCCTGACGCACGTTGCTCTGGCCACTTCGGCGCCTGAACAATTGAACTGCTTCTCGGTTCAGATGATAAACTGAGTTAGCCAGCACTGATGTCATTTCTATTTCCTGCAAGGCATGCTCCCCGTGTCCGGGTAATTGTGCAGAAGCAAGTAGTGAAGTAGTGGCTTGCAGAGAAGGGTGGCGAGCAGAGGTGTGACATAATTTTTATGGAGAAGAGTGTGTCCACAAATAAAGCCTATTGCTGGGAAGGTGACTCGTGAGTTACAGTGCTTGTGTGAGAAAAGTGTCATCTGTCTAAAGCTGTTGACCTCAGCCTAGGGTAGCTGTCTGCAGACAGAATAGGCATTTCTTCTGCTCGCTCCTCTGTGGGCTTTCTGTAAATTCACTTAACTTTCCAAAATGGGCACTCCAGTAACAACTATTCATCGCTGCCCACTCCTGACCCCACCTCAGTGCCCAGGACATTGCTTTGGCCAGACTGTAAAGCCTGCTGGCTAGAAGCCAACAGACGCGGGTCGGTGAAGGTGTGTGGGAGCCTGTGGTGTGTTTGGCTGGGAGGCTGCACCGCGGGGCGTTAGGATTTTAACCGAATGCAGCGTATAATGTCCCCAGAACATTGGATGTTGATGCCCCTGCTGGTGGCACTGTGAAGATTGTTCTGCTTCTGCTGAAGCAAAGGGAAGGTGCCGGCCTTTCCTAGCAGGACTCTGCATCTCCCTTGGCTTGGATAGCTGAAGCTGTCTCATGTTCCACACAGTAAGTACCGACTGGCTGAGAAACTGAGATTTTTAAGTCAAGCTAAGTAATAAAACTGTTAACTTTTTTTTTACTAGGTACTCAAGTACTGTCTTTCTGCTTTTGTATACGTGTTTCCATTTAACCAAATAAGAGAGAGATGGCGTTTATCTAACAGTGGCAGGGCGGTAGCTCAAGGACTGGCTGCTCCAGGCAGCTGAGACCTTTTTTTTGAGGTTTTAAGAATTTTACAGAGGCCAAGATGTGAACTTTCTCTAAAGAGAGACAAAAGTACCCTGTACATGCTGACCACTCCATAATCCACTGCAGCAAATAAAAAGAACCACTCTGTTTATTTAATCTGAAATAGATTAGTACAAAATGTACAGAAAAAGCAGTACAAATTTACAAATATACATAACCCGTTTTTGCATTCTTCAATCATCAGACTTCATAGTACTCTAGCTTAAAAAAAAAATCACATTCCTGATACTGTTTCTCTCACCTTCGTAACATTGCATCTGAATCCCGCAGTACAGTCACACGATGGTTGGAACTCTGTCCTTGAGCTCTTTATTGACCACAATTGCCAAACCCTGTGTAAACCCCATGACTCAACTGCTTCTTTAAATCCACTTGGCACCTCAGTACATCTTCTTCCATTGCTTTTCCACATAACACCAGTCATTTAACATATTTTAATAGAATTTGGCAGAGGCAGGGCAACAGTTGCAAGTATTCCCTATTTAGAGCTATTGGAAGGCTTGAGGGAAGTTGCTAATGGAGTTGGAAATACTGCCATCTAAGACAAAAGGATTTATATTGCTGGCAAAGATTGCATTAGGATGTAAAGCTCTATTAAAAAAAGCTACAATAATATTGAGAATAATTTAAAATTACTTTTAAAATAAATAAATAATAAATAGTAATAAATAAAGCCATTTTAGAACCAGTGGAATTTGAACACTCAACCTGCCTTTGGAAATAATTTCTCTGCATGTTTGTTTTGCAATTTTCAGTGAAGGTACCTCAAAAAATCCAGTACCAAAAATAATTTCAATAAAAAATACTATGTTCAAGGCTATTTTCCTGCAGGTTCATTTGAAGCATTTAAAAGCGGCAGAGAGAGAGTGGTCTGGTTTCTCTCTTCAGAACTTGGCTAGATGGACGCTCTTATAGGAATTGTCTTTCAGGCTGTTGAATATCTCTTTGGTGCCGTTCTGCCACTGAAGAACAAGATCCATAGGGGTTTTCCCTTGCTGGTTAAAAGAGCAGAGGAAGCGAGACTTAATTGCAGCGAGTGATTACCGAGACCTTTGTTCTTCCCTAAATACTTGCACAGTGCGTCTGCCTGATGTGAGACCCTTCTGCACGCACAGGGTCAGACTTGCTCTCGCCTCCCTGAGGTCAGAGTCCTCTTGCTCTGCAGATCTAGTCCCAGTCCTGGTCAGATTCGTGAAGAAATTT